CTCTCTAGGCCAAGCATATTCAAACCATGACAAGAACTAATGGAGGCTCTGGACTAAGTTTATGAAGACGATCAACCTGCAGCTTGAAGCCCACATGCAGCCATGATGATAGCTACAAATGTGGCCCCAACCAACCTCATAAACTTGTTTAAAACTTTATGAAGTTCTTTGCCATTAGTTTTGGCATTCAAACTATAAGTTCTTGGGTGTCAGTGATGTAGCTAATCATGTTGTTTTGCAGTGTCACAGGTTGGACACACCTGCCAGAGTGATGAGAAGTCATCAGATACTAGAACTCCTGTGAAGGCAAGGGCACCTTTTGTGGATGGGCCAGTGACTGGGAATCAAAGCAGGGGTGTGGTGGGACGGGGTGGCAAAGAAACCCTGCCAGACTCTAAGGGTGGAGCTCAGAGCATTTCTCTTTCTTTTCTGACTCCCTGAGTTTGGATTTTTGTCACCTGCATTACAACTTCCCACTCAAGGAATTTAGAAAGCTCTAGAATAATAAAGTAGAAACAAAACACACACAAAAAGACAAATTTAGAGCCAGGAATGTGGCTCCATGGTAGAATTCTTGCTTAACATGCATGAAGTCCTAAGTTTAATCCTCAGCAAGGGACATACACACACACACACACACACACACACACACACACACACACTCATCAGGATGATATGACACCCCGAAAATTGCTTGTGATACTGCGTATCTAAAGGCTGCGGCTTCTGAAGTTAGGCCATGACACATAATGCAGTTCCTGTCTTGTTCACTGTGATCGTAAGCATTGCTTAAGATTAAGATTCTGCAATTCTAAAATGATTCCACAGGAAACACTAGTCTATTTTCAGGGATCCAGCAGACACATGTCAGAAGGCAGCTCTGAAATTCAGTGTCACTAATACACTGAGTACCACATGGGTATTATAAGTAGACTGAAAGTCTCAGCACAGCTCTCGTGTATTGATTAGTTGGCATAAGAGCATTCTTGGCTCTTAGGATGCAAGCCATAGACAGATATATACTCAATAAGCCATGCACCACTCTGCCAAAGGATCGGCTGTTTTTAGCATTATAAACTCAAACTGTCACTCACTTCACTTGTTCTAGTTTATTCACTTGTTTAATAGCCTCCATTTATTCATTTATTGATTTTATGTATATGAGTATACTGTTGCTGTCTTCACACACACCAGAAGAGGGCATCAGATCCCATTACAGATGGTTGTGAGCCACACCATGTGGTTTCTGGGGACTGAACTCAGGACCTCTAGAAGAGCAGTCAGTGCTCTTAATCACTGAGCCACCTCTCCAGCCCCTTCTTTAGTAGCTTAAGAAGAAGAAGAAGAAAGGCTAAGTGGAGTGTCACAGTACACAAGTTGTGGAGAGCTTCATCAGAAGCCAAGACGTTAAGTTCGGAAAAACAGGAGCATCTGATTTCATCTTGATCCCTTCAGTATTAGCATGGTGTTTGTATTTAGAGCCAATATTCTGATCCCTGCACAAAAGTGATACCTTTTTTTGTCATGTTAACTCATTAAGACTTTTTATTACTTCTATGCAAAAGTAGCTTACTGCCCTCAGCAGTAAATGACCTCTCAGCTGAATTAATATTTCTATCATAAACTATATCTACTATGATCTATCAATCTCAGCAGAAAAGTATACATCATCACTATGGGTTATGTTCACTTAACTTTTAAAGTTATATTAATTGTTTGTGTGTAGCGTGTGTGTATGTGTGTGTACATGTGTAAGTGTGTGTGTGTGTGTGTATGTGTGTGTGTATCTGCATATATGTCCCATGCAGAGGGGGTTCTTGCAAGTGACAGGGAACTGAGCCACAGAAAGAGATAAGAATGAAAATCTAACGCAGATTGACTTCAACAGCCTGGATCAAACTTCGAGAAGTCTAATGCAGGCAGTTCATTTTCAGTATATTTTAAACACAGTACAATTTAGGAAAAGGTTTCCAGGCAACAATCAGTCCAATTCCAGGTACATAATAAAGGTTAAGGTGTGAACACATAAAAACTTCTTTACAAAGTACATGAGACTATGAGGGTGGGTTTTATAGCTAAATCTAGTGTGGTCTCTGACCAATAGATAGCAGAGGTTACCAGGTCATAATGTACATGTCACATCTCCCCTAAGGATGGGTAATGGTCTAGGGAGGGAAGAGTCTGGGATAATCATTCCAGGGAGTTTGGGTGAGGTCTGCCTCTATAGCAAAAGGTTGGGGAGGTCTGCCTCCACAGACAGCAAAAAGGCCACCAGGCCATTAAAAAATCCACTCTCAGCTTTCTGCATGGAATGCAGGCATTTGATTTTTGTCTCCTCCATTGAGGATACTCCCCTGCCTGATTAACATTCCTGGTTCTCTTATGCTTCTCTGTGAGTACAAGGACCTCTGTTCCTCCAATACCACAGTGAAGTATGTGTGCAGGAAACATTGACATTTTGTATGTGTTATATATATAAAGGAACTGGTTTGAGACATAGGCATGGAACGGCTGAGTTCAGCTATTTATAAACTAAAGGCATGTTTGCTTGCTATCTCTAGGAATTAGCTAACTAGGAGAGTGGAGTGGATTTGTCTCCATGTCTCCAAGGGCCAAGATATCAAAGCATCATAAAATATTGGCAAGATGGTAGCAGCATCCCAAGTCTATGAAGCATACCCAGTAGACCTGGCAATGTTTGGAATGTGTGGCTGCTACCGAAGGACATAAATGTTCTCTTGTTGTATACGAGAAGCATGGAAGGATGCTCAGGATGGCAATTCCACTCATACAGTGTTTAGGGGGTGTGGGAGATGACTGCAAATTTCCCTGGTTTTTATTACCACTGCTAATGAAAGTTATACTATTTTCAATATGGTAGACACAATGATGCATATCTTTAACCTTAGTACTCTGAAGCCTGAGGCAGAAGACTCCTGAGTTTAGATATTCCTTGACTTATAGCAGGGTGACTTCTTAATAAACCCATAAGTTGAAAACAGTAAGTAAAAATACATTTGATCCCTTACTCTACAAAATATCAGAACTTAGAACAGTGTGATGGTTTGTATATGCTCTGTTCCTCCAATACCACAGGGTTTAATAGTGCCCTGGGAGTGGCACTATTAGAAGATGTGGTCCTGCTGGTGTTGGTGTGTCACTGTGGTTGTTGGCTTTAAGACCCTCATCCCAGCTGCCTGGAAATCAGTATTCTGTTAGCAGCCTTCAGATGAAGATGTAGAACTCTCAGCTCTTCCTGCACCATGTCTGCCTGGATGCTGCCATGTTCCGGCCTTGATAATGGACTGATCCTTTGAACCTATAAGCCAGCCCCAATTAAATGTTGTCATTTATATAAGAGTTGCCTTGGTCATGGTGTCTCTTCACAGCAGTAAACCCTCACTGAGACATCCAGTCTGCCTCAAACATCCTTACAACACATCAACGTATGGTTAGGCAAAGTCATCTAACACAAGGCCTATTTTATAATAAAACATTAAACATCTCATGTTATTTATTGAATACTGTATTGAAAAACAACAGAATGGTTATATGAATAAGCTTTTGTAACATTGTAAAGGGTTGTGAGTGGAACCATTGTGAATTGGGTAGTAGCAGTAGATAAGAACTGGATACATGCAGGAACTTGCCAATAGTTTACAGCACCTGCTTAGTTCACATCCTGGGTTTGCTTCTGACTCTGTCACATCGACAAACACATTATTCATAACTGTTTTAGAGATAAGGCCTTGCCGTATAACCCAGTCTTGCTTCAGCCCTGAGATCCTCAGCTTCCCCAGTTCTGGGATTCTAGGCATGTACCACCATGCTTAGCATTATTGCGACTTTTTAAAGTAGCTGTCTGGAATAAAATTCCTAGCAATGGTTGTTAAAAGAAGAGGGGAAAAGTAACGAAAGTGGTGTAAATACTTCAAGCATTCATTTAATGCAAATATTTTTGGCAAGAAAAAAGCAAGTGACTGTTGCTTAGCATATGTAAAGTTCTAGCCCATATTTAGAAGGCTATTGCTTAAATGTAGTGAATTATGTAAATACATTAGCAAATTATTTCATTCAAAACCAAAAAAGAATGCAAAAGATGAAAGCCATGCTCGCCCCCTTTCCTGTGTTGCTCACAAACTCCACTACCTCAGGAATGTCCTTCTACAGTAGGTGAATTCAGTAGCAAGTCTCGAAACAATCTGCCTCAACTTGTATTCGTGTGTGAGTAGTGCCACCAAATCTAGTACAGAGAAGCAACCGTGTTCTTTCCTTTGTTCTCAGGTACTCTACCCGTGATAACATTTGATACAGGAACTTCCATATGTACAGTGGCTGTCAAAAGACTAGGCTATTCTAGTTTCCTCTTTCAGGAACCCAAACTAAACGCCACACGAGGGCTTTGCCAGTTGACAGTATGTCACACAGGAAGGCCCTGAACTTAAGACTTTGCCAGCCATGTGTAAATCTACCTCTCCATCCAAACTCCTACCTCACCTGAACCTACACCCTCCCAAAATACTACAAACAGCACACAGTTAAAGATTTGGGCTAGAGCTTGCGTTTTAGTTTCTTCTGTTGTTTTCAAAGACAAAAATTAGCCCACCAGTGAAAATGCTATAATAAGAGACAGGATTAATGAAAACTGAAATACACAGTGTATAATGGTTTTCTTTGAAGCCCCGAAGACGTTTTTAATTTTTACATATGTATTTAAAGGGCCGCATGAATACAGTTCAGTTAGTTCAACCACAAGTTGTCCCTTCAGTGATGTTCAAGCTTATAGGTACCTTTGCCTGCCTAGCCTACACACTGCGGGAGAACTTCCGGCCGACTCACCCAGGGCTTCCGCATTGGGCGGGGACCCTGGACCAAATCCGTGACCTTATTGATTGTTTTAGCCTGAGCAGCCGCAGGCTCGCCGGGATCGACTGCTCGGGTCTGGCGAGCGGGGCGCGGGAAAGCGAGTTTGAAGCCGGCGGGTTCGCTGAGGTGGCGCGCCCTCCTCATCCCGGACCGTGCTGCGAGCTGCCATGTCGGAGGCGTATTTCCCGGTGGAGTCGGGCGCTCTGGGACCTGAGGAGAACTTCCTGTCTTTGGACGACATCCTAATGTCACAGGAGAAGTTGCCGGTGCGCGTCGAGACGTCCATGCCGCGCCTGGGCGCCTTCTTCCTGGAGCGTGGCGCGGGCGCCGAGCCGGACCATCCGCTCCCACAGGTGAGGCGAGCCCGGGGAGAGACTTCGAAGATCTGGAGCCTGGGGGAGTCCTCGGGGATCCGAGGAGGCCGCGGGGGACCCAGGAAGCTGCACAGCACTGGGAGTGGTCTCCCGCCACCGATTTTATTCTTAAAACTTTTCAAAGTCATCCGCTTCGCGAACGCTGAAGGGTTGGCTTCAGCTGATCCTCTCAGGGTCTTGCTGTTCATGGTTTCCATAAAACTTACTTGTTGACGGGCAGCGGTGGCGCACGCCTTTAATCCCAGCACTTGGGAGGCAGAGGCAGGCGGATTTCAGAGTTCGAGGCCAGCCTGGTCTACAGAGTGAGTTTCAGGACAGCCAGAGCTACACAGAGAAACCCTGTCTCCAAAAACCAAAACAAACAAACAAACAAACAAAAAACCTTATTAGTTATTTCTAAGTCTGGGAACTGGAAATTGTCATGTGCGCTTTGCAGGATTACGACAGTCTCTGCAGCCGGTTTCTGAGGACCGACTATCCAGCAGGGGGTGGGGGCTGTGGTGGGGGATAAATTTGTCATCCTCTCACTTAGGCAACTTAACGAAGATGGGCTACCTCAGCCAGGGTTCCACAGTTAAGTCCAAGCTGGCTTAACCAAGTCATCCTCGGTAAAAAGGTTGCTCATAACAATGTTCAGTGTCGGACTGAATATGGCAATTGCAGCTCCCTGAAATTAACCCTTTTGCCCTCCCATAAACCTAACAAAAGCTGGGTTAACAAGGCCAGGATCCTCCAGTAAATGGTAAGCTGGGATTCGAACCTTGGGCTCTTTTAGCTTCAAATAGGAGTTTGTCTCAAGAGCATAACTTGTAATGGTTACTTCCATTTCCTGTTAGGTCTTTTAAGTTTTGTTTAGAAGAGTACCTGTTTTCTCTTTGTTTCTAGGTAATTTTTCTCAATGTAAAACACCAATTTTTGAAAATCAAATAGTACCAAAAGATTTTTTTCAACAACAACAAAATAGTAGGCTCATTTTTGCTTCCCTTTTAAAAGATGCTAGACCAGGGGCATGAGAGATGGCTCAGTAGTTAAGAGCACTGACTGCTCTTCCAGAGGTCCTGAGTTCAATTCTCAGCAACCACATGGTGATACACAACCATCTGCAATGGGGTCTGATGCCCTCTTCTGGTGTGTCTGAAGAGAGCAATAGTGAATTTATATACATAAAATAATTAAATAAATCATTTAAAAAAAGGTTCGCCATACTCTTGGAAGTTATATATAGCCGCTCTGAAGGAGTAAGCTGTCTTGCTCCAGTTTGAGAAATAGTGTCTCTCAACTGGACAGTTCCAAATAGTGTTATTTGAAATTCCTCTCACAGAATTACGTTTGAGGATTTTTTTTTTATGATACCTAATTTCACTCATAGATATAAGCCTTTATCATTTGTTTCTTATGTTGGTTTTGGTATGTGCCTTGAACTCCAGTCTCCTGCCACATTGTATGCCCCCATTCCTGCCTTAGTCTTTCTTTATAGACAGAATGAGCTGGCCCTGATGCTCCAGTTCTGTAATGCTAGCTACTTTAGGGGCTGAGGCAAGTCCTACCACCACCTGTTTCTTAAGTTGTCTTATTGTTTAGTTCTGGAATTTTCCATTTGATATTTTTAATTTACATTAAAGTCAGTGCCTAATTACTCTGCTATTTAGTTTAAATACTGGGCCTCCTATTTTTTTATACCTTGGCCACTCAAGTCCTGGCCTCCTGGCAACCTTGGGCTGGCTGTTTGTTTCCAGCCCTGGGATTTTTGTTGACTACTCTACCTCTCTTAACCCTAAAAATTGCGCCTCTTTTAAACCTTTAATTTTTGCATATAAAAGTATTTATTTTAATTGGGTATGTCAATGCGTATCTCTGTATAGATGGGTGCACATCGGTGCAAGTGCCTATAGAGGCCAGAGGAGTCACATCCCCCTGGAGCTGGAGTTAGAGGGAGCTGTGAGCTGCCTGATATGGATGCTGGAAATTGCACTCTACATCTCAGTAAGAGCAGTATGTGCTGAGCCGTCCCCGCCCCCTTCTGCACCTTTTTACAGATTTTATGATGTCTAGTCCATCCTGTCGTCTCATCTTGTCATGTTTTGCATTTCTTCCAAGGCTTTGAAAACATAGACATTGACCCTTTCTGCCGTCTCCAAAACTATGAGTTGGGTTGGGAAAGAGACTGCCACTGACTTCAGACAGATTCCATTTTATTCTCTGTTCTACTAGCATCCAGACTGGTTCTTAGCGCTTAGTAGACACCCAGCAAGAACTTATATACCATAGATGGAGAATATTCAAAGAAAGGAAAAAAATGATATTCATTTACTTTACAGAACTCATGTTTTTGCTGTTGTTATGGTCTGTTTTCTGTCTTCATTAGATCATAATATAAATCCTCAGCCCAGGCTGATCTCATAGAATTTGAGAATAGGATAGTGATGTCAGAGACTGAGAAAGTGGGGCAGGAACTTGATTAGCAGGTACTACCTTGTAGTGAGAGTTAAGGAGTTCTGGTGTGCTGCTGAGAAACATACCACTTAAGAAAAAGTAAATTATACACAGAGAAACCCCATCTTGAAAAACAAAACCAAACAACAACAACAAAAAAAGAAAGAATAAGTAAAGGTCTGGAAATGTGGCTGAGTGGGTGATGTTCTTGCTGCATTAGCACAAGGACCTGAGTCTGAATCCTCAGCACCCACACAAAAAGCCAAGCATGGTCGTGGCTGTAACTCCAGGAGTGGCAGGGCTGGGGTTGACTGGTTTGTCCCCAGCGCCCACTGACCAGCTAGTTTAGTTTGGCTGAAACAGTAAGTACCAGATCAGCAAGAGAGCACTCTCCAAATTAAGTGATTGAGGAAGACATTGTGACATCAGCTTCTGACCTCCCCACACATACCATGTTTACCAGGTAGACAGTGTGTGTCCTTGCTAAAAAAAAAAATATATATAAATAACACTTTAAGTGTATGGTTCATTTCTTTAGATCACTTCACAGTCACTTCCCCAGTAGAAGAGGCAGTATTTTTCAGACAATATGCATTTCCATTTTTTTTTTCCACATACACTGACTGTGCCTTTTGTTCAATTTTATGTTCTTATCTGACACAGGGTACAAAACTTGAGCTTCCCTTGTGGCTGGCTAAGGGACTCTTTGACAACAAGCGGCGCATCCTTTCTGTGGAACTTCCCAAGATGTACCAAGAGGGATGGAGGACTGTATTCAGTGCAGATGCTAATGTCGTAGACCTCCACAAAATGGGGCCCCATTTCTATGGGTTCGGCTCACAACTCCTGCATTTTGACAGTCCAGAGAATGCAGATATCTCCCAGACTCTGCTGCAGGTGAGTGGTGTGTAGTATTGGGCTGTACATGTCTTGGGAGCCGGTGATGTCGTTTTTTTATCCTTTGTATTAGTCAGGGTTCTTTAAAGGAGTGTGTGTGTGTGTGTGTGTGTGTGTGTGTGTGTGTGTAAGAATGCATAGGTTTGCATAAGTTGGAGAGTTAGCTTAGTGGTTAAGAGCACACACTGCTCTTCCAGAGGACCCAAGTTCAGTTCCCTGTATAACATTTCTCCCTCCCTTTCTTCTTCCAAACCCTCTCAAATGTCCCTCCCCATTCATTCAAATTCAGTCTTTTTGTTTTCACTAATTGTTATTGCATGCTTATATGTATTTGTATATGCATATATGTTCCTAAATATAACCTTCTCAGTCTGGATAATATTACTTATATGTATGTTTTTAGGGCTGCCATTTCAAAAAATAAAGAAGAAATTTAAAAAGTGCCTATGGGCTCTCAGATCAATAAAAGCTTTTAAGTGGAGAAGAAAAGACAACTATTAAGGGGATTTGTTGGATTGACTTATACTAGGCTTCTCACACAAAAGAGACTAAAATCCAGTAGTTGCTCAGTCCATGAGACTAGATGTCTCTGTAGTCCTCATCTGGTGCTGAAGGTCTAAAGGATTCTTGGAGAGCTGCTGGTTGCCAGCAAGAGGGCAAGCAGACAGGCAGTTTCCCTTTGTATCTTTTTATCTGAGTTGTCATCAGAAGGCGCTGCCTTTGTTTAGGGTCTTTCTATTTCAAATAAAGAAAATCTCTCATAGGAGTGCCTGGCAGCTTGCAGTTGATTCGCAGTCCAGTCAGGTTGACAACTAACAGTAGCCATCACACTTAGTGACGTGTGTGATCCATTACTTGTTTTGTTGGTGTTCTAGGGTGACCTACACTTACACGTGTCAGCCAGTTTTTTTTTAATTTGAGCCAGGGATGTGAGCCAGTGGTCCAATGCCTGCCTATTATGTGTGAAGCCGTGAGTTCAAGTCCTAGCACCACAAAAATAAAGCCCATAAAGGTTTTACTAATATATCCTGGAGGAGTAAAGGGAAGTTTGGGGTGGATATAATCAAGATACATTGTTTACAAGTATGGAATTGTCAAACAATAACCAGAAGATTTTAAAAGAAAAACAGTTAATCCAACTTCTGTCAGTCACCTGACTAGGAGTCCACCCCAGAGGAAAGCTTGTTTACCTGAAGACATGCTAAGGAGAAGAGGGGATAATTGCCCTTTAATAAGTTAATATATGTATGTCTTTCCCAGATGCTCCTCCCATGGTAGATCTTTTTCTTTCCAATACTAGCCAAAAAGCCTAAGCATCTTTTCCCTGACACCCTAGGATCTCTCTTTCTGAAGTCCTGTCTGCCATACAGCTATTTGCCCACTTTCATTGCAAACAGCATGGCTTTTTCTCTTCCTCTTCTCCATCCTGCTTCCATAGGCGGCTGCCGGGATCTACAGCTTGCTTTCCGTCTGGGTTTTCTCTCAGACTTAATAAAATTGTCCTCTGGCTTCAAACAAAACAAAGTTTTACACAAGTACAGGGTCCTAATAGTATTTTAATACATGTATTATACATTATATAATGTGCATGTCAGGTTAAACCTGTCTCTTCATTAGTAATTCTTTTGTGTGTATATGGTATGTTTTTGTGTATTCGTGTTAAATGTGTGAGTGTAGGTGCATTCTTGCCATGGCACACATGTAGTGGTCAGAGACAACTTTGGATGTCAGTCCTCACCTTCCAAGGTCTCCATTTTGTTGTTCGAGGCTGTTGACTATGTCATCCAACTAGTCAGTGAGTTTCCCAGGAGTCTCTAGTCTCCATGTTGCATCTCACCGTAGAAGCAGTGAGATTACAGATGTGCAGTACTGTGCCCAGCTTGTATGTAGGTTCTGGGAATTCAGACTTGGGTCTTCATGTTTGCATGACAAGTACTTTACCCACTGAACCACTTTCCCAGCTCCTTAATAATTTTTTCATGGCAAAAAAAAAAAAAAAATTGAAGTACTTTATTTTAGCATTTTGAAATGTTCATTATAAACATCTATAGCCACTTTATAGTATGGTAGTACTCCAAAACTTCTTGTTCTTATCTAATATATTTTAAAAATACATGACCTGCCCACTCCTTTTTGTACTTACTTCCTAAGAACTGGAACCATCAGGAAAAAAAAGAGAGAGAGAGAGAGAGAGAGAGAGAGAGAGAGAGAGAGAGAGAGAGAGAGAAAGATGGTGGTAGATTATAGGTGATAGGCACATTGTTAAACTATTCTGGTCCAGTTGCAAGTCTAGACTGGGAGTTCCTTTTGGGAGTTCCTTTTGGGAATACTTGAGGTACTTGTTTGTCCATTAGTGTCCCTTCTTCTGGAGTTAAAACACGGCTCTCTCATTAATTGTATCTGTGATTTACTGAAGCTACATGGCCTGTCTTAACATGAAATTTTCACCTGTATGTACAACATGTAACAATAGCATCAAAATCACAGAGTAAAAAAGAGATGTAGTGCCGTGTCAGTTAATATTTTATAAACAGTACAGTAGTTACTTTCCTGTTATGATAAAACACCAGGACCAAAATAAACACCATGGGCTTTTATAAGATAGCTTATAAAAGAAAGAGTTTCTTTTGGCCTTACTATTCCAGAGGGATAAATCCATCATGGCAGCAAGCAGGCAGCATAGTGACTGGAGCAGGAAACCAAAAACTCACATCCTTACAGTAAACACAAAGCAGAGAGGTGCAGTGGGAAGGGCACAAGGCTTTGAAATTTCAAATCCCCCTCCCAGTCACATACTTCCTCAACCCCCAAACGGTAGAGCAACAGGGCACTAAGTGTTCAAATACATTAGCCCTTCAAAGACGTTTTCATTCAGCTGTAACTAAATACGTATTTTTTTATGGACAAAACAGTGTTAACATATAATATTGTCATCATTTATGGCGTATCCTAATTTAACTTCTTAATTATTTATTCTCTTAATAACAGAAAAAATGATCTTTTGTGTCTCTTGAACAATAAACAGTTAAAAGACTTTAATTCTTCCATTTTAGTTTTATAAGAACTGTTGGCTCAAGGGCTAGAGAGATGGCTTGTAGGTTAAGAGAGCTTACTGTTGCAGAGGACTTGAGTTAGGCTTCCAGCAACCGTGCTGGGTAGACCTCAATGGCCTGAAATTCCAGGGGACTCACTGTCTTCCTTTGTCTTTCATGGGTACTCAGCAACACAATGAAAACCTGTCTCAAAAAAGAAAAAACCTGGGCTAGCACACCTTTAACCTCAGTAGTCAGGAGGCAGAGACTGGCATGGTCCACATAGTGAGATCCTATCTTTTAAAAAAAAAAAACTTTGGGTCTGGGAGGATGGCTCATCAGTTAAAAGCACTGGCTACTCTTCAGAGGACCTAGTTTGATTCTCAACACCCATATAGTGACTCACAGCCTTCTGTAATTCTGGTTCCAGAGGGATCAGGTACCCTTTTGTGGCTTCCACAGGTACTGCATATATGTGGTACACAGATATCCCTGCAACTTATATACCATAAAATAAAGGGAAAAAAATCGAATCTTGCTTAGTCTGTGGCTTCCTGAAATCACAAAATTAAAAGAGAGAAAGAAAGGAAAAAAAATTGGTATCCATTCAGTAAAAAAAGCTCATACACAGACTATAGACCAGAAAGTTGAACCCAAGTCATGAAACACTAGAATAGAAAGCTACAAGAGAGGAAAGTGTGCTTGTGTACTTTTTTTTTTTTCGTGCTTGTGTACTAAGACGTGGACTTTTTATTTCTGTTTGATTGAGGTAGGTTTTCTCAGTTCCTCAGCATGGTCTATAACTTGCTAAGTATTTTAGGCTGGCCTCTCCTTGGGATCCTCAGCCTCCTAAATATCAGGGATCACGTTCTGGGCCAGGAACTCCAACTCCTAGGACTTGTTCTTGAATTAAAGTTTTCTTCCTTTCTTTCTTTCTTTCTTTCTTTCTTTCTTTTTTTCTTTCTTTCTTTTTTTCTTTCTTTCTTTCTTTTATTAGTTGTGTATTTTCTATTTCCATCACTGTTTTCAAGTGTTTTATAGTTGCTTTTAGATTAAATGTTTAGCTGTGAGACAGATGGAAACACTGGAGTAGGGGCTTGTGGGGTTTTTTCAGAGCCCAGCGATAAAATGATACCCTTGATCTTACATCTTTTCATCCTGTTCTTAGCCTGAGAAAAACAAACTGAAATTGGTTAAATCCAAAATCCTCTCTGGTTGAAAGCTGTTGGTTATAATTCCTATAGGCTTTGTTACCAATAACAACACCAGGCAATGTTTTTTCAGGGGCTTGCTATATGCCAGCCTCTTGTTATGTGCTTTTCATATGTTACTTCACTGGTTTATATAATGATCCATTAGATTTCCATAACAACCTGTTTTACTGTAAGAGAAAAAAAAAAGGCTTTCTTAAGTAGTAGAAGACGCTCAAGCCTTCTGGGTGAGTCTTGAGACCAAATTCTTAGAAGCTATCTAAATGGTCCAGTATAGGGGCCAAATGGAAGTCTCCATGGTTAAGAGTACATACTGCTCATGCCAAGTTCAGTTCCCAGAACCTACTTCTGGTAGCTCACAAGTGTAACTCCAGCAGCATGAGGGCCCAGACGGCTGTGGCAGAGACAGGTGGTTCTCTGAGTTCCAGCCAACTGGGGCTACATAGTGAAACCATAAGTAAGTAAATAAATAAATCTTCAAATGTTCCAGTAAATATGTCTAAGGGCCAGCAAGATGGCCCTTGCAGCTGGTTCTAATGACTTGTGTCTCCCACACTGTCCTCTAACCTCTACACACATACATGGTGTCACATATACTCCCTCTGCCTCTCCTATAAAGTAAATTAACAGAGGTTCTCAATGTGTCTGGCTTTATGGGATGTCATGTTGCCCCTGATTCTCTTACTCTTCTTTAGACTTTTATTGGACGGTTCCGCCGCATCATGGACTCCTCCCAGAATTCTTACAATGAAGACACTTCAGCACTGGTAGCCAGGTTAGATGAGACAGAGAGGGGCTTATTTCAAATTGGCCAGAAAGGTCTGAATGACTTTCAGAGTTGGGAAAAAGGTCAAGCTTCTCAGATTACAGCTTCCAGCCTCGTTCAGAATTATAAGAAAAGAAAATTCACAAATATGGAAGACTAAAAAACAGAACAGAACTGCAACTTGTGGATTTATCTCCGTGCCCTTGATAAGACCAATTAACTTCATGAGGGACCCAACTGTGTACTGCTTCAGGGCTTTTAACCTTCAGCAGTCTCAAAGCTTGGAACTGTCTGGTTGGGGCAGATGTGGATGCCCTTGACCCTGTTGGTCTTCTGGACTGTAGCTACCTGCTATCTTCACAGCATAGGCCTTTGGTCCAGGATGCAGCTGAGGAGGACCCCGAGTCCATCTTAAATAAGGAGCACAGGGACATTACATACATAGTCAAGTTGGAACTCGGAGTCCTCAGGTGTCTGGTCTCTTTGGCTGCAAAGTGGGTCATCTCTGCCTGTTCACAACTTCTCTTAGGCTTGTTTGCCTTCTCTTCTTCATGGCTGGACAAAGGACAGCATCCCCACCATGCTCCCTACCTGCTGGGACTTACCCCAATTTCTAAAAAAGGAAATTGGGAGAAAAGCGGAAAGTCAGATGAATGGCAGAGCAGAAAGAAGACATTGCGCTTTTGTGCTCTGTAATCAGGGCTTTAGAACTAGAATCACATCCCTTCAGTCTACCCAGAGGGGCCATGTACTTGTGTTTGTGAGTGATCTTTAAAGTGCTGGCATACTTGTTCCACTCTAGAAAAGCTATCAGGGTAGCCGTCTTCCAGTAACTTGCCAAAATGACCAACACAAGGGAAAGAGGAGAAGCACTCGGCATATGCTCTCTAGGCCTTTTAGGAAAAATGGAGTTGTTCCGCTGGCCACATACATGTGAATCTACAAGAAGGGTGACATTGTAGACATGAAGGGAATGGACACTGTTCAAAAGGAATGTTCTATAAGTGTTACCACAGCAAAACCGGAAGAGTCTGTAATGTCACCCAGCATGCCGTGGGCATCATTGTAAACAAGCAAGTTAAGGGCAAGATTCTGGCCAAGAGGATCAGTGTGCGGATTGAGCAGATCAAGCACTTGAAGAGCAGAGACAGCTTTCTGAAGCGGGTGAAGGAGAACAATCAGAAGAAAAAGGAAGCCAAAGAGAAGGGCACCTGGGTTCAGCTGAAGTGTCAGCCTGCTTTGTGAGTACTAACGGGAAGGAGCCTGAGCTTCTGGAGCCCACTGCATATGAATTCGTAGCCTAGTGTACAAAAAGATAGAAAGGATCTGGGCTGCAAAGTGATTTTCTTTAAAGAAAGAAAGAAAAGCTATCAGGGAGGTGTTAGGAATTGCAAAGTAGTTATTAAAGTGTGTTTACCAGCCTTTGTAATAATTGCATCAGGGGCTTGCAGGTTGTGAAGAGCCCTAGCTGAAAAACAGCCTGGCAAGTATTAGAAGAAGACTCTTTTACATTATTTTTTTCTCCAGGAAATACTGCAACATTAATGCAAAGAGGACCCCTGACCACTCACTGGGAGTCTTTTTAAACATGTACCAAACTGAGAGGGACAAGTTCTCCAGACCATAAGCTGAATAGAAAAGTCCCATTTCCTGGAGCCCTTTGGATTGTCCAGTGGGCAGTTTCTCCACACCACTGGCCACCCCTGGTACCCTATGGCTACTGGAAAATGTCTTCATTGTAATTAAGGACAAATTTGGGTGTCCAGATAACAAAGTTGTTGTAATGGAAACTTAACAGACATGCATTTAAATGCCTGTCTTAGCATGAAATTGTTTTTTATCATTTGACTTTCATCCTAAATAAATGATGAGTTTTGTACATGTGTTGTCTCTAACTGTCTGGCTGACAGGAGTCAGCAAACCAAGGACTTATTCTTTGATCATATTCGACTGTAATGCTCAAATCTGTGTTTTAGCAATTACACTTCTGTTTGTACAATATGCATAAGCACCAGGAACATTCTCTGGGAGTGTACTATGCCCTAGGAAAATGACACTTCTATTTTTACACAGTTTTTTATGCATACTCAGGGCCCAGAAACCAGGGTGCAAAGAGTATATTAGCTTAACTTTTGGTAGCTCTGCTTTCACAGGTGGCTTTGTTTTTACAGTTAATATTAGATTGCTGGTATATTTTCTTTTTTAAAAAAAAATTTTTTTAAACCACAAATTTCCTCAGGGTCCGTATATACAGAATCTACTTTAAATTTGCAAACAGATTATATCATATGTATTTTTTTAATCCATTTTTAGTTCTATATATGCCCTACAAGTCTTTCAGACTAATTTTCTTCCTGGAAACCAGCCCTCCCCAGTTCAGGTTTTAAAGTAACTGTTTAGTTCATTCAAAAGTTGATTTTTTTTTTCAAAAAACAAACAAATAAATAAATAAATAAATAAAAATCTCACAACGAATTGTCTCAAGTATTAAAAAGCTTCTAAAGTTCAGTGACTGGATATGTGCCTTTTCCCCTTAAGGGCTCTCCTTTTAGGTATCTGTTCATAATTATAGACAAAAGACTTCATTGTGCAGTTTCCCCAGGGACATATTGGGCTGTAAGAGGAGTGAGACAAGCAAGGCTGTCCCTGACTGTCCCTGGACCTCTAAATTTTGGACAGCTCCAGACTTAGCCTGTGGATCTTAGTCTACCCGCTGTTGACTCCCCCAAGTTCAGAGCTCCAGCTCAGCTCTTGCCCTCCAGCCCTAGGTGTATGTCCAGCCACCAACTCAGTGTCTCCACTGGAGCATGTGACGGAGCAGATAGTGGTCAAGACTGAGGCCCCAGTCTTAGCCCCGGTCTACTCTTGTGGCCTTTTTCATCCAGCTTATTTTTCTTTATTGCTCAAGAAAAAAACAAAAAAGTTAGTGTCTTTGACCTTTCCTCTCATTGTCTGTCTCTTCTAGGCCTGCCTTTAAGTAACTGACCACCTGCCTTACCTCCAGTCCTGTCAACCACCTCCCAGTATTCACCCTCCACCTTCAGACTGTTCTCACCATATTCCTTGATGGTCTGGATCAAACATCAGATCTAGTTAACATCTTCCCATCAGAGTAGAAAAGGCCAGCCCATCATCCTAGCACTATTTGTTGAAAACAAACACACGCCTTTAGCCCACTGACTAAAGCAGGGCTAATGTTTTTTTTATTTTATATGAAGATTCCACTTTCTCCCTAAGAACACTAAGCCTCTTGCAGAGTTACTCATTTCCTGCTCAGCATCATTGAATCAGTGGACCGCTGTGTCTCAAGTAGTCACACAGGAATGTGAAATACTGAGCATCTCCAAAAGCTCAGTTAAGAGTTGGTTCCAGGGCTATAGAAATGTAGCCCATGCCTAGCAATCAGGAGGCCTGGGTTCAGTCCTTAGATGTATTAAAAGAAATTCTACATATAATTTCTTGTCCCATCACCATCCTTCAAGAAACCTCAAGAGAGCTTTTTTTAATCTATATTCTTGAAACAATGGTGTGCCATGCCAAGGTTTACCTTTGAAAATAAATGTAAAAACTGTGAAAGCCTTATGTGTGTTTCTGAAAGTGGGTATTTTTTGTGTTGATGAGGAAACTGTGTACATCAAGGATCTTCTAGAGCAAAATGTAGGGTATGGTTATGAAATGACTGGGTAAAGGTCCTTGCCGCCCAGCCTGACAACTTGAGTCCAGTCCCCAGGATCCACATGGCGGAAGGAGAGAACACGTTCCCTTAGATTGCCCTCTGACCTCATGCATCAAAGCACATATGTGTGCACACATACAAAATACATCTCAAGAAATTTAAAGATGTAATAAAAATTACTCTATGCACCACAATTTCAACATTTGTTACCTAGTAAAGGTAAACTTTAACATAGAGTACATGTATAGTTTTCTAAACAGTGGGACTATGAAGATAGTAAACAGGAGAACCTGAGTTTGGTCCCCAGGAGCCATGTGCAAATATCAGGCATAATGGCTGTGCACACAATAGCCCTGGGGAGGCAGAGAGCCAGCAGACAGCCTTGCCTACTTTAGCAAGTTATAAGCCAATGAGAGACAGTCTCAAAAAAAGGTAGACCTAAGGAATGACACTAGAGTTTATTCTCTAGTTTTCATACTTAACATGCACACATGAACCCATATACACATGAACACACAAACATACACATAAAAGATGAATTTCTCTAAAACAGCAGTTCTCAACCTGTAGATTACAACTCCTTTGAGGGTCGAATGACCCTTTCAAAGGGGTCACATATTAGCCTGCATATCAGATACGTATAATTCATAACTACCAGAATTACAGTTCTGAACTAGCAATGAAACAGTTTTATGGTTGGGGGTCACTACAACATGAGGAACTATATTAAAGGATCACAGAATTAGAAAGGTTGAGAACTACTTCTCTAAACATAAAGAAAGGTCTTCGTCTTAGGGTTTTTATTGCTGTGGTGAAGAGACTGACTGTGGCAACTCTTATAAAGGAAAACATTAAGTTGGAGCTGGCTTATGGTTTAAAGGTCTAGTCCATTGTCATGACAGGAAGCATGGTGGGATGCAGGCAGACAATGCTGGAGAAGCACTGAGTAGAACATCAGGATCCACAGGCAGCAGAAAAAATAACATTGGCCTTCCCTTGAGCTTTTGAAACCTCAAAGCTTGCCCCCTAGTGACACACTTCCAACAAGGCCACACCTCCTAAGAGTGCCTTTGGGTACCATTTTCATTCAAACCACTACGGTCTGTAAAAGTTGGAATTCCAGGGTTGGGGATTTAGCTCAGTAGTAGAGCACTTGTCTAGAAAGCACAAGGCCCTGGGTTTGGTCCTCAGATCTGAAAAAAAAAAAAAAAAAAAGTTGGAATTCCATCGCTAATTGTCGATACTGCCCTCTTGCCCGCTTGAGTAATCTTCCCTTATTAATAGTAGTGGGTAAAATGTACTGTGAACAAGGGTCCTTCAGCAGAGTCACTGTACGGATTAATCTTCTCATTGCTATGAAGGGTTTATTTTGATTCATACTTTGAGGGGAGTGGGTGCAGACATGGCAGCAGGCTGCTCTGTGGTCCTGGGGACATGCAGATGGAACTTATCTCTTCATGGCAGCAGGACAGGAACAAAGCCAGGACAGGAAGTGGAGCCTGGCATTAAAGTTCAAGACCAAACCCCAGCTGCGAGCCTCAGCTACGGCTGGTGTGCAGTGTGTTACGGCCAAGCTCCACCGCGGACTACCCAGGAAGAGGCCCGGGAAGGAGGGACAATCCCTTCGTCCTGTCTGCCTGTCTGCAGCGCACTCGGACCTGTCATGGCTGAGCAGAGACAACCCTACCCTGGACCAGTCACTACCCACCTTGATGGCCACACAGGCGCATCTGCTACACCAGGGTCTAGTGCTCAGTTTGGGAGCAGCAGAGCTGCCCTTTTGCAGCTGCATGGGGCCCTGCCCACCCCCACTGCCCCACCCTGGACACTGAGAAAGCCCGAGACTCCCAGGGGCATGCTGCTAAGTTCCCTACAGTGAGACCCTTTTTGTTTGTTTGGTTGGTTGTTTGGTTTGTTGTTTGGTTGGTTGGTTGTTTTCTGAGACAGGATTTCTCTGTGTAGCCCTGGCTGTCCTGGAACTCACTCTGTAGACCAGGCTGGCCGCAAATACCCACTGATTACACCTGCTCCTGAACCTTCAAGCCAGACCCAGGGGCTCAAAGCAAGCGATAAGTGCTACCTTTCCCTCTTGCTTTCCTTTAGTCTGTATTTATGACCTTCCTGTCCTCCCAGGACTATCCCCTGACTACACAACCCTGCTGTTGCCGGTCCTGCCCCAGCTCACTCTCCCCGCTCTCGCCAACCCCCCCCCCCCAGCATCTACCTTCTGGTCTGTAGATTCTACAGTGTAGAAAATGAGTCTGACTATACAAATTCAACCCTGGTGTATGCAGAAGTTAAAGTCCTCTCTCCTAAAGTAAATACAATTATCCCTACCTAGGGAACTAAAAAAAAAGCTCAAAACCGGCCCTCATTGACCTGCTTTCTCCAGTGAGTCTCTATGGCCTGAAGATTTCATAATGTCTCAACACAGTGCCATCAGATGAAGACCAAGAGTGCAAAGACATGGGGCATGTCACACTGAGCAGCACCATCTTACTGAGAGCAAATAACAGAGGAGCTGTGGGCCAGGCCTTCTTTGGTTTGAGCATTTCATGGATTTTTTTTTTTCTAGCTTTCTGCTTGTCTGCATAGTTAATGAAGCAGACAGTGCAAACCAAACAGTTTGCTTGGCAAGTGGCAGCATCCTCTGCCCAGCCCAGAAGGCAGACTAGGACGAGAAGGAAATGTAAGGAAATGCAAGAGAAAGGAGTTTCTAATCTTGGAGTTTGGTTGAAGTACTTTGTCCACTGAGATTTAAGAACTAAAGTACAACCAGCAAATTTGCTTTGAAGATTGCCTACAGAGATAATATTCTCTTTTCTAAGGACCTCAGACAAGGGTATTAAAAACAGTAAATAAAATAGCAACACCCCCCCCCCAAAAAAAAAACTCAAAACTACCTTACAATTTCTTTTATAAAAAGAAAATGCTTGAAGAAAAAAGAAACAAACCAGCTTGAATTGTTGAATTTGTTTTTAGAACACTGCTTAATCTTCAAATCTTGTTTAAATTATCCTATGTCCTTTGAGCAATGTAACTTGAAAAGCCACAGAGTTATAGACACCTAAATGTGACCTTCTTGCAAGCTTACTGATGTATTAGGTGTGTACTGGCCCTTTTTGTCTCTGGAGTCTGCTCTGTGTCTAGGATACATACTAATGTCATTTTCTTAGGCATCGCTCTCTAAAATGTCCACACTTAC